TTAGAGTAATTTTTGAAGTGGAAACAAAACTTATATTGTCTTGGACCATTTTAAATAATATAATTAATATAATTAAAAGAATCTTCTGTACATCACCAACAATCATATATGTATAATCATTACTACAAAAAGTTCCAAACGAATATACAGATAATATATATAAGCAGACATATTATGCTTGCCTTTTGTACGTAGGTTTTAGCATCAAGCCTTTTTCGTATTATTTGTCTGTAAATAGTCATATTTATTACTGTTAATTAAGAATATATTTTCAAGGTATACCTTGCTAGTTAGTCCTTTGTAGCTTGTTATGTTCAACTTCCTACTTAGGGAATGTCTCTCTTCTTCTTTGGGGACTTTTATAACCTACCCTCTTCTCTGAACATCTGGTGTATGGACAATTTAATATCGGGGGCCCAACATTAGGAAACAAGAATAGTTCCTCAACATCTGATGCATGAACAATTTAATATGGGGCCCAATATCATGAAACAAGAATTGGAATAGACTTTGCTCTCATACAATATAAATATAAAATAGATCTTGATCGCATAATTTAACTTCAAAAACTAGCTCATGAGAGGATGATTGTCCAAGTCATACCAAAAAGACCGCTCATCCCTTAAACCACTGATGTGAGACTCTTCACATTCAAAATATATATATGAGATCTTTTGTAAATTTCAATTCTTTTTTCCCCTCGGATTTCTAAGTAAACAGCCTAATCACACCATTCTTCCATAGATTATGAGTTTACTACTGCACCTTAAGTTATTATACAATAATACCTGGATTCAAAAGTCAATTTTTTAGTGAATTTCTTAATATATATAGAGAGAGAGTCTGGGCAAAAGCTATTGGGTTCTCGTGAATCCATATCTCGTTCTGCCTCTAGTGTCCCCGTCTTCATTTGTTGTTTCATGTTTGAAGTGTGGAATGGGGTTTATTATGCATAGTCCCCTCACATTGCAGTTTTTTGGGGGGGAAAATGTACCCGAGGCTAAGGTGTTCATTAATTTTTTTTGTGTAATTTGAAAGTAATTGTGAGTAAATTAAGTGACATTATATTCTATATGAGGTAAACATATAGTTTCTCTGTTACTTTGATTTATTTCGATGGTTTCTTATATTTTTAGTGATTTTCTTGATGGAATTTAATTTCTGCACCATTATCATTTTAGTTTTAGGAATTAAAGCATTGAGACTTCTATAATCTCTATTTATTTTTTTGGAGTTCTACATCTTTTATGGGATGAGAACATGAACTCCTTACATGGTCTCGAATAATCCTTTCCTAATAAGCTGAGGTTGATTTAGGCTTAAAGTCTATCCCTGACATTTTAATATATCATGGTAATGTTAAGTTTTCTTGATGGAATTTTTTCAACTTTATCATTTTATAATTAGCTTTAGAAATTTAAGCATAGGAACTTATTTCTACATACCCGATCATTCCTAGCTCATTAAACGTACAAATAAAGTAATTGTTTTCTATTTATATGAACATTTTTTACTAAACACATATTCTTTTTTAAAAATTAAAAATTGTTTGGTATTTGTGGTCTAAATTCTTAAATATGTCATGATATTTATGTAGTTATAAGATACTTAAGTGGAAAGTTTTATTTAAATAGTTTCCAAATACTCCATTTTGAAGAAAAATTGACCTGGTGAATTTTTACACAACATGTTATGATGATCATTAGGGTTTGTGCCAAATTTTGAAGGATCACTAAGATCTGGCCACAAATCGCCAGAATTTTAGTCATGAATTCCAAAAAATTGTTATGATCCGTCAGGAATTGACAAGAAATCCTAACAAATCACCATAACTTGTTGCTTAGTCTTGATCAATATCAAATAAGAAATCCTAACGAATCACCATAGAAACAAAGGCAAATTTGCATTGAGCATGTCTCTGCGCTTTCGTTAAAATACTCCATTTAATTTTGGGGTATGAGGACAAGATATTTATCACTAAATTCCATGTTAACTTGAGTGATATTTAAAATTAGTTGAACAATTTATGAAAGTTAAAAAATTTACTGAAATGATTTATGAAGTTGCAACTGCTAAACTCACCCTCTCTATCACATTGAAAAAAAATTATTCCTCTCAAAAAATATTTGTTTACGAGATTTCAGAAAATACTAATTCTAATATAAGAAAATCTGATTTTCGTTTTAAAGGGAAAAAAAAATGAACCTCATACAGCCCACAAAAATAACATACTGTAGTATGTACTTTATGTTCTTAGATGATGGAAAAGGAGATAGTGTTTATAAATCACTATGTATTCTCTTCAAAGATTCATTCTCCAATTTATTGATGCTTTGAAATGATAGTTTATAACTTTTAGTTTTTTCCAATTGACAATTTGTACATACTAAAAAAAATTATTATCCAACTACTGATTTTGATTAATTTATTTGAATGCAAAAAACTAAAGATCTTGAACTTGGATATATAATTTCCTGAACTTTGATGCCAAATTGAATATGTTTGCTTTTCAATTTGTACAATGTTAGAGAATTCATTGTTATTTGAGCCCTTGTTATTAGTAAAACATGTGAATTAACAAAAGTTACAGAAAGAGAGGTATTTGAACACTCAACTAAGGTAATCTAAAGATACTTGGTAATTTATAAGAAAATTTTTAGAAGTGGTTGGTCGAGAACTTTTGATTCCTCTGTACAAAATTTTAAGTTCAACAAACTTGACTTTGACCTTGAAGGTTCGCCTATGGGGTAACTTCCTGAAGATATATATACTCTTAGGTCTTAGCCCATATGATCCTTTTGCAAAGGGTCTCACACTATTAAGAATTTATTTTAAAAAATATAGAATCCATCCACTCAGACTTTCACCTCTCGTTGTGGTGGCGGTCCACTTACCTTGGATATTATTTAATTAAAAGAATACAAAAGGAGATCTAACCTTACGACGTCTAGTTATAATTGCGGAGAGGCTTCAGGAAAGCAATAAGCTCAAATTTAAAGATACTTAAGATGGACAAAAGAAACTATCATTTATATAAGATAACCGGAGGTTTTAGAGTTCGATTGCACAATATAATGTACATTCAATTTTCAGAAGACTGAGCAACATCTCCATGAACCATAACAAAGTGAATGATTAGGGAGGATTAAAAGATTGTTCAACTGTTGTAAGTTGCTTCCTTTTTTCTTTTTTCTTTTTTTACTTTTCACGTGGGACTTTGTTCACACACATACGTAATGTCCCCCTTGAACTAAGTTCCACATAACCCATTATCATTCATGGGTGAATTGACAAATTGCAATCAATTGATGCAAAGACGAGTGAGATAGAGCTAGACTAGTTGCATTTAATTTGTGGAAGACATAAAGAGATGAACAAAAGTAGTATATATCTTTTCACTGTTTCAGCCGTTCTCAACATTATTCTTTTTTTTTTTTAACTCGCACGTCTAAAATATGAAAGTAGAGAAAATAAAAGATTAGAATGAAGATATTTGGAATAAGGTGGGAGTGTACTCAGGAGGCAAGGTTGAGATGACTCGGGCATGTGAAGAGAAAATGCAAAGATGCCTCGATGAGGAGGTGAGACTCTGGCTATGGTGGATATGAGAAGAGGTTAAGGTAGGCCAAAGAAGTATTAGTATGGGGAGAGGTGAATAGATTAGACATGGCACACATATGTAGCTTACTGAAGACATGCCCCTAGATGGGAGGATTTGAAAGCCGAGGATTAGGGTAGAATTAAAGTTAATATGCATAGTCGAGTGTTGTCTAGTTTTTTGTATCATTATTGTTACTATTATTCTAATTATACTGTCTTATTCTTTGATTTTATTACTTTTAGTTGTTTTATTTGCCTCGATTATCGTATTATTTGATTGTTGATTGTTCTCGTCTACATTAATGTCAGCATAGTTTGTTTCACTATTGTATTTCCTTTCAATACTTGATTTTAATATGCTTTATATGAGCCGAGAGTCTATCGAGATCAATTTCTCTACCTTCATAAGGTAGGGATAAGGCTCCTCAGACCCCACTTATGGAATACACCGGATATGTTGTTGTTGTAAGTACTCTTCAAACTCTACTGACAATTTGTACAGATATATCTTGTCACTGCTATAATCAGTTATATTGTATTGATAGTATAAAATTTCGTTATTGTTTGGGACGGATGGAGTAATGAACATTCAATGTTGAATTGTTTAATGTTTTTTCTTTAATTTCATCTTTTTGTTTTTCTGGATATTTCTTACTTTATGCTTACCAAATTTATTGCAGATATATAGGGTGGTCACATGAATTGGATGTATCTTAAGTAGATATATAGAAGATGATGCTGCCTGCCACGAGACAAATATGTACCTCAATATACTAGCTATCTAGCTAGTTAAGTTTTCTTATTAAGTTATTATTATTATATTATATATATACATACTGAAGTCTTAGTCTATAATAATTTAGTTAGATAATCAGTTTCTTTCAATCAAATAACTATCTTTTGGAAATTTGTTAAAGGGATTTCTCCTCTGCTGTAAATTAAATTACTTCTCAGCTATTTTTATAAACATACTTTGCATCAATTTCAGCAGGAGTCATATATAATAGTTGTAGTATTTCAGTTTTTTCTCAGCACTTGGTTCTTTCTTTCTTTCTTTTCTTATATATAATAGGAGTATAATTCTTTTGTGTATCTGTAGTATGTACATATTGAGCCAGGGCGGAGCCACCGTTCGAGTTACAACTTCAGTAGAACTCAAAAACATTAGCTCAAACCCTGTATTTATATGTAAATAATCTATTCAGAATCGAACAAGTAAAAGCAAATTGTGATTCAAAATTCATAAACTAAAAGTTTTAACTCTGCATGTGTATTTTGTGGAGCATGACTTATAACAAATGGACAAGAAAGATATGCATTTTTTTGGGGGGGACTTCTCTTTTCTAAATTAACAGATTCTGGTACATTAAGTGCATTTATTATTTATTATATTTTGACAAAAGTTACATTATTATTACTGAAATTTAAAAAATATAACATGCTTGCTTGATATAAATATAAATCAGTAATAACTTCATCTACTTTGAGATCTTGATGTAGCCAACATGGGAGGAATTTTCCACTTTAACCAAAGCCCCTAGCTCAGGTACAACCAAGCACTTTGATGACTCTTGTTTGTAGAAAATGCCCACACATTTGCAATCTTTGTTGCACCTATTTTTGCATTCACTTATTTTCATAGGCCCAACTCCTTCATTATAATCACTAGTAAAATGTTCAACTCCTTCCACCTTATAATAGTCCACATTTGATCCTCCCCTACATACTGGCAACTTTGGTGGTGCACATCCCTTACTCCACCCAATCAAGCCTCGAGGGCTCGGACACGCCACACACTGGCTATCCTCGCAAACGCCTAATGATCCACACCTCCTCGGTAGCTTGCATTCACTTTTTCCATCGTTGTCCCTATCGAGAAGTCGATATGTGACTTCCCATGCTCCCCAATCAACATTTGGTTCATAAGTGTACATTCTTAAATTACCATCCATATCAACTCTAAACATAGTGTATGTACTATTGTATTTGGGCCTAGTAAATATAGAAGTACCAGAGCTAGGAGAATTGGTCATGTTAATCCTAAATCCTAGCTCAAAAGCATAATTTTCACCATATTCTGGCTCACAATAGAAATCAAAATTGGCTAAAGAGCCTTTCCCATTACCAAAATCATCTGATTTGAAATATGGTAAAGGCTTTTGTGAATTTACACTTATATAATACATGGCCCAATGTCTCCCTTCTAGGACAAAACTATAAGGCCCATCAACAGGTTCTTTACTGGACTTTCTACTAACAAGCTTAGATGGGCCTTTAGCCCTTAAACTTTGGCCCACCAAAAGTGTATCCGTTGGGTGATCAAAACTTTGCCAAACAAATCTATCATTTTTGTCATGTAAAACCAAGTTGCCATTAGGCAAAAGTTTTAGCCCTGTTACACCTTTGTTGGCAGTATTGGTATGCCAAGCTACCGTGCCATCGACATCAGTTAGTACCAAATTCCCATTAGTACCAAACGTTAGAGTGGCGTTTTCGCGGACAGGCTTACCACGATTAGCCTCCCAGACCCATCGCATAATGGACTCAGATCTACGATGACCCATTCGTAGCCCAAGTATGAAGGTGTTTGGAGTAGAATTAAAGAAACAAAGGGTGAAAGGGAAGTTGACAATGTCCAACACACGATAATCTGCAAAATATTCAACGGAGTATTCGCCAAATGAGCCTTCATTTATGTACTTGAAGGTTTTGGAAGGAGGAACATTGGCTAATGTTACTATGAATAAGGAACAAAGTGTTATTACAAGCAAAGAAGACATTGTTTTTGGTTTTGTGAATGAACAATTTTTGAGTTACTATATTTATACTAATAAAAAATTGTTTAATGCTATATCTTATCCAGTGGATCAATATATCCCTGTATTTGACAAAGGCAATTGTTGACTTTGACAAATTCATCATTGATCAAACTTAAACAACACACTTTTGAATCCACTAATTAATTAATTTCTTTTCACAAATTAATGGTTTTAGACCTTTTGGTTCTGGTCAATGAAACCATGAACCAGTTATATATAACTTTTTATTTTAAAAAGAAATCCTTATTGGAAGAACATTAATGGCTAAAGTTGGATCTAGCTATAGAAGCATCCACGCATGGTTGACATTTAAATTATACTATATACTAGTGATGGCTAGCTATGTGCTTACGTACGTTATATAGTACTGGTACTTATTAATTAGTTGGATGACATTAATGTTCAATTTAATGGAGTTCATCGTACGTTTTCTTAGGAAAATATGTCGAATCAAGTTGTTGAACTTTTAATTGCTCTACAATACAAACATTCAGATTTTCTCAATCCTTTAATAGTGATATATGTACACGGCAAAGTTCATGCAGTTTGGTTTATTTTGAAAGCGAAATCAATATTAAAAAATTTAGATATGTGAAAACTATATGAAAAATACTATGAATTGTAGTGATATGATGAAAAAACACATTTTAAAATGTTGGTGTAAAGGAACGTACAGAGGGAATAATTTGTAGAGATGGAATTATCAAAAACATAGGGAACCCTACAAGTATTTGGATGTACATATAAAGTTGGCCTGTAATTCTGTGTGGTACACTTTTTGTGCCATCAAATATTAGCTGTGAAAGTTTTTCAGTGAAATTTAGTGTATGTCATTTGGTTGGTCAAGGGATACTGTTGCATGTACGTAGATCAGACAACTTTGATGAGATCGAGTGGTCCTTTAGAGTGCTGCACATTTTGTTTGAACAAGTAATTTGAATTTCTTAAATTACGTTTTTAATTTTCTCATAAATATAAAAACTCCATACTATGTGAAAACTATCAATTGTAGTATATATAGCTGCTAATATATCTGCACATATTTATACAAACATGGAAACATTGAATATGTAGGTATAAATTATATACATATTAGTAACTACCACACAAGAAATGGGAGTCATAATGTATGAGTTATGACACTTTTTTTTTGGAGAAATTATTTATATCGATCTACCACGTACGTCTTTAATTTCTACACTTTCGTGTAAAAGGAAGCCATCATTGAGTATGCTTTTCTTAATTATTAATTATATGTATATAGGTCTACGTATTGTAAAAGGTTCATGATAATCATATTGTTTAAAGCAATTAATGTTCTTCTGTCGCACTTTGGAAGAAAATATAGTTTTTAATGGCTGGAGTCTAGAGTGGCCTTAATCTTTTGCACTAGCATATACAAAAATATACACAGTGTGATCTGTCGAAGCCAAATTTATTTTTCATAAGGTTAGTTGAGTCACGTACAACGTGATGTCCAATAAAACACAAGGAAGTTTACAAAAAAAAAAAATTCACTTTTTTTCGAAATTGAACTCTAGTCTAAACATGTTTGGCCATGAAGTACAAAATTCAACTTATTTCTAAGAATTTGAAAACAATAAAAAAGTATGGCCATAAATTTTTCACTTTAAAATAAAAATTATCTTTTTCAAATTTCACAATGAAACATTGTCAAAGACCCGCTTAATTTAGCTATTCATCCGTAAAGAAAAACAGGGAAATTTATATAAAATTACGTTACCAAGATATCTTCTTCTTCTTCTTTAAAAAAAGAAGAAGGTACAATTTCAGTAAAATAAATCAAGGTGCCTATTGGGGTCTTTTCAGGGAATGGAGTGTGGGAGAGAAGAAGACAATTTCAATAAGTAAGATAAATCAACAGGGTCTATTTAACTTGTGCCCTTCACCACTGTGTTGGGATACTAATTTATTAGAAAACCCTACAACAACAAAAAATTCTCCAAAATAGTGTCTCCTATGACGAAAAAATTAAGTATAAAGTACAGAAACCTAATTTGGATTAATTACATTCTATTTCGAAAGTTTTTTAAATTACAATAATATCGAATTTTTCAAAATTCGTGGATACATTGCTCCTTCACCCGATACACAACAAACGATATATAAGTTATGTATCAGATACATAATTATAAACCAAATTCATACTGATTTAGATTTGAAATAATTGAAGTTTTTTTTTATCAACAATAACATTTGTACCATACATTATACACAAAGAAAATTGTAATGTATCTGGTGGAGGTGGAATGATGTATCAGGATGTTAAGAGAGAGAAGGAAAAAGGGGAATTTTTGTAATTAATTTTAATAATATGAATTTTTAGAGATTATGCTATCTTAAATCGTTTAATTACGTAATTTTCCCAAAAAATAATTATGAAATCTTTTTGGAAAATCTTTCTTTTTAACATTTTTTTCCCTTCTGAATTGTATTCCCTGAGTACTTCAGTTTGTAATAATTTAGAAACACAATCAGTACTTGCTTGGTTGTAAATGAAAGCGACGAGTCATATAGGAGCTAAAGACAATACCAGAAACGCTTACACAAATAAAGATGAGCAAATACAAAGCTATTTTTTTCGGTAATAAATACAAAGCTATTTATTACTACTATCAAAGAAAAACGACCAAACATCCAAATAAAACTATTGATACTTATTTGGTAGGAAGGATAAGGGATAACTAATTTTAATTTTAGGATAAGTCCATTTTATATTCGATTGAAATAAAATTATGGAATACTTTATTTTGAAATTAGTTATTTTGGAATTATAATGTTATTTTTATCCACATTAAAAACAAAATAATAATCCTTAAATAAATCTTGAAATAACTTAATCACCAATCAAACGAGCCCTGACAATTACATACTACTACCTAATTCATGGCTAGTTAGGGCTTAGGCAGCCAAATTCATTTGTTAGGTTGTTGCTTGCATCCTAAACTATTAATGTCGGTCCGTCCTTGAGAAATGACAAAAAAAAACTCATACTAGAGACTTTTCTTTAATTTTTAATCAATGTAGAAAAAAATGATACTTACTTTTATTATAATTTAACTTTAAATTATTTTTATTTTTTATGAAAGAATTTATAATCACACAAATATTATAATTTATTATTATTTCTTACCACAAATTTCAAACACATTTCTTTCATTCTTAGGTTAATTTCATAATATTCAGTAAAACATCTCCACGATATAAAGGAGCAATATTTTCTTATCTAGCTGTATCAAAACTAAATTAAGTAGGCGTTTGGCCATGCGATACCATATCACGATATGGTATCGTGAGATGGAATCAGCGTTTGGACATGCGATTTTACACTGATTCCATCTCATGATTCCATATCATGAGAGGTGATACCCTATTCTCCAAAAATCATGATATGGAATCACCATGATTTGAGATATTTTAATACAATAATTGATCCATGAGTTTATATTTTGTTAAAACAACCCCACATTTATATCTACTAACCATTTGTTTCATATGTAAATAACATTTATAATCACATCATTACTTTTTAAAATTTATTATTCTCACCAATATAAAATTTATTATTACTTTAAATTTGGTGAATATAAATGATAAAGTAGAAATTCATTTGATGAATATAAATAAGAACGAAGGGAGTAATACTTTTTTGATTTTTCATAATAAAAAAAAAAAGTCTTAATCTTATGACTAATTAGCATAATATTGACAAAAGACAATTTTCATTGGCGGTGCCGCGCTTTCTTAATCTTAGTATTCGCAAAATGTTCGTTCACATGACTGAAGAATATCAAGTCCAATTGATTGAGGACTTGGGAAAATTTGATCAATTAGTTATTAATATTTAGTCAAGTGGACTAGTTATAATTTTTTTGATTAAATTTTATTAGAAGTGTTTTTGATTCAAACTTGTGGTAACTTTTTAAAATTTCGTTATTCAATAATATTTAACTATTGATTTTTCTTGTAATTAATAGTTAGAAGTCAGTGATGTTTGTTAATTTTTATCTTAGTGTATTTAACTTCTAAGTTAATATTTACTCACTAATGTATGTTTTTTTCTACTTTATAGGTTATTTGTAAGAGTAGTTGAGAGATATGAGCATATCAAGTACAATTTATGTTCAATTTTTTAATTAAATTAAAGTTAGATGAAACAATTACTTAAGTGAAGAACAAATAACTTTGTAATAATTTATTATGCGATTTTATAATTTTTGTTTATTTGATAAGATTGAATAAACAATTGGGGCTATTTTAATAGTTTTACAACTTATGGGATTTTTATGTTTATGAGAAAATATACAACACAAAAATTCCATATCGCATGTCTAAACAAACCTTCAATTTCATCTCATGATTCCATATCATGATACCATATCGCATGGCCAAACGGGCCCTAAGTAAGTACATCTCATATCCTCAAGCTCCTTTGAATTTTTGCCCTTCTCTTCATTTTAAATAAAGTTTGATTATACATTTGGTTGGTTTTTGAAAAGTTTCTTGAAGATGAGTTTAAGTTTTAAAAAGTGTTCTTGACATTTATCAGGCAATTTTTTTTCACACTAGATTTTTTTTAATTTTCTTTCAAGTTAAATACGACATATTTAAATATGACTTCAACTTTGAAATATTTTTTTCAACTTTTTGTTAAATACTATTTTGGTTCAAACATCAAATTTTTATGTTCAAAGATAGATAAAACTTCAATATGCTAACATATCATCAACCAAATATAACATAAATTGTTTTTTAGATTTAATTCTAAATTTTCTACTAAACTTAAAATTATCTGATTGATAACCTCTCAAATGAATAAATTAGTCTAAAATTAAAAACACAAGATGATTTAGACCACGCATCAAACAGCTAAATAAATGTTCGACTAATGAAGATAAGAAGTCACAAGATTATTAGAGTAGATTATAAACTTTGCTTCA